ACGATTCAGATGTCAATAAAATGACCTTTTACAGTGTTTCATTGTGCTTCTTCTTTAATTCTTCATGACAGGAAATGCCCTGTGTAAGTGTCAAACTGAAATGAGCAATGATTAAAACATCAAAGATGAGTAATATGGGCTTGGGCTGTTCAAATATCTGTCTGCACCATCTGCTGCATGATTAGGGGAACTATGAATTTCCAAGGAAAGCTTGTGACTCTTTTTTTTCCAGGGAATCTCCCAGGAGAATGCAAGTGGTCATGAAGAAGCGTGCTCTCTCAAGTTACACTGCTGAACAAAGTGCTATATAAGTCGAGCTGGTGGTTCAATGGTCACGGAATTAAAATGAGCTGCAGAAGTGAACCCTTATTCAAAGCAGATTTATTACAGCTGGTTTTATTATGCATTGTTGAATGCATGCTATAGATACTGCATATGGTTTCCCAGTGCTAGGTTGCAGCTGGAAGAGTGTCTGCCGCATAAAAAACAGATGCCAGAGTTATCGGTGGCTCATTCCTCTGTGACGACCCCTGATAAATTCAAAGAGTGAGTAAATGAGTAAGATGCTGCATATGCTACTTTAAGTACCATTGATGGTAAATGAAAAATGTGCAAAAAGGATTCACAAAATAGGCTAGCACATACGTATACTCATTGGCCACTTTATTAGGTACATCTGTCCAACTGCCTGTTAACGCTTCTAAACAGCCAATCACTTGGCATCAACTCAATGCATTTAGGCATATAGACATGGTAAAGATGATCTGTTGCAGTTCAAACCAAGCATCAGAACGGGAAAGAAAGGTGATTTAAGTGACATTGATTGTTAGTTCCAGACTGGCTGGTCTGAGTTTTTCAGAAACTGCGGATCTACTGGGATTTTCACGCACAACTCTCTCCTAGGGTTTATATAGAATGGTCAGAAAAAATATATATATTCAGTGAGCGGCAGTTCTATGGGCACAAATGTCTTGTTTTTGTCAGAGATCAGAGGAGAATGGCCAGACTGGTTCCAGCTGATAGAAAGGCAACAGTAACTCAAATAACCATTCGTTACAACCGAGGTATGCAGAAGAGCATCTCTGAGTGCACAACACGTCCAACCTTGAGGCAGATGTAATGTAATGTAATGTGTGTATTTATATAGCGCATTTATTGTGAATGGTCATACAACCAAAGCGATTCACAATCATGAGGGGGTCTCTCCACACCACCACCAGTCTGCAGCATCCACTTGGATGATGTGACGGCAGCCACAGGACAAGGCACCAGTGCGCTCACCACACACTAGCTATTGTGGAGAGTAGAGAGACAGTGATACAGCCAATTCAGTGGATGGGGATGATTGGGAGGCCATGATCATAAAGGTCGATAGAGAGACTCTACTCTTTTCGAGAAGTGTCATGGGATTTTAAATGACCACAGAAAGTCAGGACCTCGGTTTAACATCTCATCCAAAAGATGGCACCCACTGACAGTATAGAGTCCCCTTCACTTTTACTGGGGCATTAGGACTCACACAGACTACAGATTGAGCACCCCCTCAGGGCCTCTCTAACTCTACTTCCAACAGCAACCTAGTTTTCCTATGTGGTCTCCCATCCAGGTACTGACCAGGCTTAGCCCTGCTTAGCTTTAGTGAGTGACCCGTCTTGGGCTGCAGGGCGATAAAGCTGTGGCTGTGGATGGACTACGGCAGCAGACGACCACACCGGGTGCCACTCCTGTCAGCTAAGAACAGGAAACTGAGACTACAATTCACAGAGGCTTACCAAAATTGGACAACAGAAGATTGGAATTTGTTTCCGCTACGACTTTCAGATTTTAGGGTCAGAATTTGGCGTCAACAACATGAAAGCATGGATCCATCCTGCCTTGTATTAGTGGTTCAGGCTGTTGGTGTAATGGTGTGGGGATATTTTTCTGGCACACTTTAGGTACCAATTGGTACCAGTTGACAATGTGTCAAAGCCACAGCCTACCTGAGTATTATTGCTGACCATGTCCATCCTTTTATGAGCACAGTGTACCCATCTTCTTATGGCTACTTCCAGCAGGATAATGCGCCATATCATAAAGCGCAAATCATTTTAGACAGGTTTCTTTAACATGACAATGAGTTCACTGTACTCAAATGGCCTCCACAGTCACCAGAACTCAGTCCAATAGAACACTTTTGGGTTGTGGTGGAACAGGAGTTTTGCATTATGGATGTGCAGCCGACAAATCTGCAGCAATTGCATGATACTCGGATGTCAATATGGAGCCAAATCTCTGTGGAATATTTCCAGTACCTTGTTGAATCTATGCCACGAAGGGTTAAAACAGTTCTGAAAGCAAATGGGAGTCCAACCTAGTTCTAGTAAGGTGTACCTAATAAAGTGGCCGGTGAGTATGTTATATAATTTAACTAAACTAAAATAGCAGGATTAGGATTTTGTAAACGGAACATATTTTAAGCCATGTGTGCTGTTGAGATTGTTTTTATCCACTCTGTGGTCATTTTATGTCTTAATTTGGCCACAAACTTTAAGTTTTAGCAAATTACATGATTTTTTGGAGACAAATCTTATTTGACACATATTTTGTGAAAATGCTTTGAAAATTCTTAACAATAAACTCAGTAAAAATAACACATTTTACCTCTTGCCAACAGGGAAAACCACCAACAATCAAAAATGCTTGATTCTATGGTGTCATGGCTTTGCAATCAAAAAATGTCATTTTAATGAAAGTCAATGAGCCAAAGACAGCCACCAACAAAACGAAAGGGCAGTCAATTTGAACAGTACACAAGGATTAAGTATTAGTTTATAATGCTTGCATTACGGTCTGTTTACAAGACCCCGATCCTGCTTTTTAGCACATTTTATAGCATATTGAATTACAAGGCTCTTCTTTCTCACATTTTTTATTTCTCATCAATGGTAGTTGCTTGAAAACCTGCTGTTTCCTATCAGCATTAAAACACAGAGGGTACATGTTAATCAGAAGAGAAAAAAATGTTTGTGCTTGTGAGTTAAAATAGCTCAGCTCTCTCTTATTCAATATAAACATTCCTCCTGGAAACACATTTGTCTTTTTTTCTCCCACTCGCTTAGCTTTAATTCGTCACATAAGTGGGAAAAGTGAATAAACAGAGTGAATAAAAGTAAACATTGAGTGACTTGATGCTCACAACTCGCACAGAAACATATTTGCAACCTTGCCTCTTTTTTTTGCTCTATGTAAATACAGCTCCAGCAACAAATAACCCTTTGTTATATATTGTTCATGTTGAGCGATCACTTTACCAGTTCATGTTGAATGATAAAACCACATGTATTAAACTTTTAATGACTTTAATTATGTCTTGGCAGAGACTTGTATGCTGTGGTAGGTTTCCTTATAATAGGTCTGGAGTTCTGCTTAATAACCAACAGGAGGCGTCTCGCCTACAAAATCCCAGAACAGAACATGAGTTCATTCAGACCATCTTCAGGCACTGACTGTGAGTATACTTTTTTCCTCTGGTCTTTTGTACTTCAGTAGCTTTCTCTTGTTTGACATGTGAATGTTCAGTCTTCTTTATTATCCTCAGATCTGTTTTATTTATCTGTATATGCTAATTTCATTTATAATATTCATTTTGTGAGTACAGATATCATTTATGGTAAATATTTCAGTTTATTGAAATAACAGCTTTTATTTTAACATGTCAAGTCAAATTGTTACGTTAGATTTAACAAAGTATAAAACTATATTACACATTTGTGTTGTTTTTATGCTTTATAAAATTAGAAACAACTTTTGACATTGGATATCAAAATATATACTGTACATTTCTGTGTGTATGAACATTAATATACTTGATGTATGTTATTATTAATATTTAAAGGGATAGCTCTCTCAAAAAATAAACCAAAAAAGAATTTGCAGACTATTTAAATCCCTTTAAGTGGTTCAAAAGCTTTATGAGTTTCCTGCTCCTGTTGACACTATGTAGTACTATGGACGTCAATGATTACAGGTTTCTAACATTTCTCAAAATCTCTTCTTTCGTGTTCAACAGAAAAATAAATTCATAAAGAAAACAAGTGTGAGTAAATTATTGCAGAATTCTCAATTTTGAGTCAATTATCCCTTTAATTTATTTGAATTTCTTGCTTTCCTTTTAATTTTATGCAATCTATTTCAATATAATGATTTGTGTTAAGGGAAAAATTCACAAAGAAATGAAACTTAATTTGCTCAGCCACTCATTCAGTTTTTTCTTCTGTGCTACCTTAAAAATTACCCCAAAAAACGTAATTTTCGCTCAATTAAATTAATTTAAACCAAAATACAATGGTTACCAAAAATAACTAAAAAGCATCTTTTTTTCAAAAACACAAGTTTGTAAAACACTATATATATATATATATATATATATATATATATATATATATATATATATATATATATATATATATATATATATATATATATATATATAAATATACACACACACACACACACTCACATATATATATATATATATATATACATACATACACACACACACATACTTTTCTTTTTCAAATAATTCAAGTTTTAATCAAATTCAGATGTGGTTGGAAGAACAATGTTTAGATGAAAAGAGATTTGTTTTGTAAATTTTTTGACAAAGCTATTCATTTTATGCAAAGAACAATGAAGATATACAGTGATGCAGAACAGCTATTAAGATGCCAGTGAGCTGATATGATATTAAGCAGTCTTTGCTAGTGAAAGTTCAAAACAAACCAGTTTATCATAACAAAGGGGCCACACCTTTAGCGTGAGCGTTTAATGTGTGTGAACAGTTATTCATTTTCGAACCACAAAGGGTAAAAAATGGGGACCGGTGTAGTTGTAAATCAATTTAAACAGAGTGCTGTTTTACCTGCATTGCAGGTCACAGAAGAATGAAAGCTCATCATTGGACTGATGTAAATGTTTAATGCTTTATCCCTCTATAGGCACAGATAATAACATTTCTAAAGGACATGCTGCTGCTGAATAGGTTCTCTGTATGGCTCTCTGCGTTCGCTGTGCTTTTGCTGACTCAGCCCATCTCCACATCAGAGGTCATGGCCTGCGGAGCTGCGGGTGAGTTTCCTGACTGATTCCAAAGAAGCCATTAAAACAACAGGCACAATTCCAGGCCTCCTCCAAGGGAATCACATACATACTGTATAAGATAGTCTGCGCTTGCATGGGCAAATCTTGAATCATTTGATACTAAAGGTGTGTTCACACTTGTTGTTCGGTTCACTTGACAATGACAAAAAAGAAAACGGAACATTTAGTTCTTTGTGTTCACGCTATTATTTCAAAGGCTGAACTTGAAGATACAAAACAAAAGTTAGGACATATATCAGAACTTACTGAACATATAAAGGAACGTGAAACTGAAGGAACGTGAAACTATAATTCATAACGACTATAGTGTGAAAAAAGAGGTACTCTTGAGCACACTTTCTGTTTTTTTTCTCCTGTTTTTCATCTTGTGATGACATGTCATGTTGTTATATAAATATATGCCTCTAGTCCATATTGCATTGACCCACATGCTACTAACATATCAACTGCACCAGAGTTTTAACCAGAATGCCTAGTGTGAACACATCCTAAAATACAGCCCGTATGGTGTCTTTAACATTTGTTTCATCATGTCCTTTTGACGCGATTTCTTTAGTTGCTTAACTTAATGACTAGACCAACAAAGAATTGAGATGACGTTTTGCCACAGTTAAAAGCTTGTCTGATTCCACTATATTTCATTATAAAAAGTTTGACTCATGCGACTGACTCAGCAAACTTACAGAGTTCAAAATGTCTTTCGGCAAGCCAAGTTTTAAAGGATTAGTTCATACAAAAATGAAAATTCTGATATTAAAAACTCATCTTTGTGCCATTCAATCCCCTTTGACCTTAATTTTTAGAGAACAAATAAAGATATTTAGATGAAATCAGAGAGCTCTCTCATTCTCCACAGACAGCCAAGATGATTAATAATAATAATAATAATAATAATAATAATAATAATAATAATAATAATAATAATAAAAATTATAATAATAGTAATAATAATAATAATTCCTTACATCAGGGGTGCTCATCCCTGTTCCTGGAGGTATACCTTCCTCCGTAGTTCTGCTCCTACCCTGATCAAACACACCTGAACCAATTATCTAGGACCTGAACAGCACTTGATAATTAAAGGCAGGTGTGTTTGATGCCGGTTGCAACTGAAATCTGCAGGAAGGTAGATCTCCAGGAACAGGGTTTGGCACCCCTACCTTACATTTATATAGCGCTTTTCTTGACACTGAAATCGCTTGACACGTTGGGGGAATCTCCCATGAGTGTGTAGCATCCACCTGAATGATGCAGCGGCAGCCATATTGCGCCAGATTGCACACTACACACCAGCTAATTGGTGGAGAGGAGACAGAGTGATGAAGCCAATTATGATACAGGGATGGTTAGGAAGCCATGATGGACAGAGACCAGTGGGCATCCTGGGATTCTTTTACAACCACAGAGAGTCAGAATCTCAGTTTTAAGGTCTCATCCGAAAGACTGCGCTCACTGAGCAGAATAGAGTCCCCTTCACTATACTGGGACATTAAGACCCACACAGACCACAGGTTCAGTGCCCTGCTTAGCTTAAGTGAGCAAAAATGTGATAGTTGCAAAGAGCTAGCTACTAGCTGATTGAAGTGTAGCATTACCAAAACATTACTTGTGACTTCAGTGGTCCAGCTGTAATCATATGAAGCTTAAACAACACTTTTGAGTGTGTTTCCTGTGTGCAATATAATGTATTTGCATTAGAATCATGAGGGTGAGTGATTAATAACCAAATTAAAATTTTTGGGTGAACTAATCCATTAACAGTGCAACAAATATTGCTCGTTAACTTACACTATTCCTTCCTTACAGTGGATCCACCTGCTAATATTGAGATAACAGATCCTGGCTTTCTGGGTTACCTCAATATCCAGTGGACTCGTCCAGCTAGCCTTCAGAACCTCACGGGCTGCACAGTGCGATACCAGCTCCGATACTTTGACACCTACGAGGAGCGATGGAGGGTGAGAATCCACCCACAAAACAGGCCTCACACACATTTATTTTCATTTCAATTAGTAAACTTTCATTCTGCTGCATATTCTGCCACAAAAACAAACACGTTTTGCCTATTTCACACTTCATGCATGCTTCACTCTTTGGCATGATTTGAATGATTTGCTTTGATTAACAGAAGATTTCTTTTATGCTGATTTTTGTGGAAATTCCTCGTTGAAGATCTTTATTATCATAGCTCAATATCAGCCATCGGAATAAAACTGTGTTTTCAAAGCAACTGAATGGCATGACAAATATTATCTAAAAACTGAGAATGGTCACATTGGTTTTACCTCCATTTCATTGCTTCATTTAATGAATCACACTTAAGTGCACTCTAAGGTCCATTGCAAGCACAAGTGAAACAACAGTGTAGAGTTCCAGGGAACTCCAAAAAGCCGAGCCAAATCTTTGTTTAATTTAATGCAATCCTTCTGTGACCACAACCACCTGCAGGCAATCTTCAAAAAAATTATAAAAGAATGCTCACCTCTTACTTAGAGTGTCAGTGTAATTGAAATATATAATCCTATTATCCGTACAGTGAAAGCACCGTGATTTGTGACTCCAATTGTGCTGTTTTGTGTTGTACAGAGTGTTCGAACTGTCAAACTGACCTACGCTGCCCAGTTTGACCTTGAGAAACCAGTCAAATTGAGAATCCTCACTGTACTGAAGTGCGCCTGTACCAACGGGACAGAAGTCCAGGGAGAAGAGACGGAGACAGTGTACACACCTGAACCCACAGGTAACATTGATTTAAAACTATTGTAGACCACTGAAGCCAAAACATGTTGTGGATTCTTATTTTATGCAATCTGATTGAAATCTTACTGATTATATTAGTCGTTTAAATATACACTCAGTTATCCTAAGTGTTGCTAAATTGTCCCAGTACATTTTATTAAACAAAAAAAAAAGATCAATCCAATACCATAGTGTAAGTCATAGCTCAAACTTGATTCCTGGAGGGCCGCAGCTCTGCACAGTTTTGCTCCAATCCTAATCAAACACAGCTGATCCAACTAATCAAAGTGTTCAAAATTACTAGAGAATATGGCTGTTTCTTAACATGCGTTCTTCAGTGATCTTGCGTCCTCATGTTCTTATGTAACATCATCATCAACTGCCAAAGTTTAGTTCCAAAACTCATGACCGCAAGAACGGAGGAAGCGTGAAAGTTCCTGTATGTGTTCTTGGTATCGCAGATGCATCGATGCAGACTTGAGCGCAAAACTCGCTCTAGAAGTCCCAGAAGTTATTTATCTCAGGAGTTTTCCCAAATAAAAAAATGAAAACATTCACATGAAATTCTTAATTAAGGCATAAACACATTAGGGGGGTTTATTTGTTGAAATTCATATTAAAATCTGTTTTATTTATATTGTGCAAAGTATTTTTGTAAAGTCTTTATGCATAGTTTATATTGAGAAAAGGGGACAAGCAATAAATCGCATGCATGCTGTAATGTTTAAATATTTTTCCATTAAAAATGCATGAAGCACGTGACCAAGTGACCATCAGGAAGAACGCAGCATCTCATTTTTCAGAGGATGTGTTCTCTGTTCTCGTAATTTCCTCATTCTTCCGAGGTGATCTGAAAAAACTGGTCTTCACTAGAACGCAAGTCCGTTCTCTGCGTTCTTGGAATCGAGAAACAGCCTATTAAGCAGCTGTGAGTTGGAGGTGGTTGGAGCTAAAATCTGCAGCTGTGGCTCTCCAGGAATCGAGTTTGAGACCACTGCTGTAGGTTGATGATTACCTGATAGGTTGCCAATTCATTAAACGTTTTATTTGACAGAGCATAGTGAAGCCTCTCACTACTGAAAGCCAGGAAAACTTTTGTTAAACTTGTAGGCTTGTGCTGTTATCATTTTCAACTTCATATCATGTTCTGAAGAACAGAATCTTCTGACCTCCCACTTAAAAGTAATACTGTATGTGAAATGCTGCTCCACTTCAGACATCCAGCATGAAGTCATTTCCAAGAAGGCAGTGACCAACGAGCAACTGATCAACTGTTGAGCAACTGCTTATATTTGACATTGGCCCAGCTTAAATGCAGCATGAGTTCCAGTCAATCACACATCATGACTACTTTTTGACAATATGAAGTCAAAAAGATGCATGGTTGTTTCACTTTTAAAAAATCAACCAAAATGCTGTCTTTCATTTTTTAAAGGTTTTGAGAAGCAGAGATGAATGTACTGTACTACCATTACATATAATTAACATCTAATGCTCTGCTTAAAAAAAAGTTGAACTAAGTAGCTCCACAATATGCTTGTTGGAAGTAAGCCACCTTAAAAGTCAGATGTCTGACTTCATGTGGTCTTCTAGACATTATTTCCAGTCATAGGTGGTGAAAAAATATCACAACATTAAAGTGACATCGATTACGCGCAACAAGACGTCCATATTGTGTAAAACAAGTTGCATGACTTAGGGCCCTATTTTAACGATCTAGGCGCAAAGTCTAAAGCGCATGGCACAAAAGCAATAAGAGCATGTCCGAATATTCTTTTGTGATTTTAAGGATTGAAAAATTCTGGGTGCTTATTACCTAAATGAGTTATGGGTATGTCTTGAGCATAACTTGCATTAAATGAATCAGAGTCTCATCTCCCATTCTCTTTAAGAGTCAGTTGGGCCACACCATGGTGCTTTAGCTATTTACATGGCAGACTTGGTAGGTGGATAAACTAAACGCTTCACAAGCAAAAAAACAGTTAAACAGACCATCTGCAGCGACGTTAAAGAATGAGCCTCCTCCATTCAGCTTCTTTACTCTCTCTTTACTTTCACATGGATAAGGAAACCACACTGCACTGAAAACATCCGTTAGCCTACATATTTAATTTTGTTTGTTAAGCTCAAAGATTCGTTTCAAAACTATTTCTTAATTCAGTTTTAATTTCCAACAAACGAATAAATGAACAATAATATCGAAATGTGGTCAAAAGAGTGTCAGGAATGAACTGAAAAAAGGCATGGAGGCAGTGATTTTATATTAATGCAGAAATAATAAGTTTTGTAACATTCTAATCCTTTATTTTTTTCATATGTAAAGATATTTGTGTATTACTTTACACCCCGTGTATATTTGAACCCACATAGGCGTAAAAACGTGTTCTGCTTGACCTGCTTTTATTTGGTCAATGGTGTGGTCTATTTCAGTTCTTCAAAATAGCATCACGCCAACAACGCGCCTTACATTTTAGACCAGCATGCCCGTGAGTCCACAAAGTGGCGCAAATGGATTTGCTATTCACACAACAAGGTGCAAAACAGATTTACTTAAAGTCAGCATGGAACAGAGGGTTAAGATTGTCCCTTTTCCCCCATATTGTCATGTACAGACAAGTAAAACATTCTTTAAATGAGAAACAAAAATTGGGTGGTTGATAATTTCATCCTTTGAGAACCAGGTTGAATTGTTGGTAGAAGGGTGTTGGTAACAAACTGAAGTAAGACTGATGAATGGACAAAAGCAGGGCTGAAGCGAGAATCACGTCGATACTGTAGCCTCACCCTAAAGGCATTCCATGTGACCAAAAGTAAAGAAAAGTTGTTTCAAGAAGTTGAGGGAAGATTGTGGTATTTGATTAAAGTTTCTGAGGGCAAATACATTTTTTACAAAATAATAAAGTGCACAGATACATTATTTATAACAATCACTACAACACAGAAAGATATTTTAAAAAGTACCAATTGATTTCATGCCGACTTTAAGATGCCTTCAAAGGAGCTTCCAAAGATGAGCATAAATTATGTCTTTGATGTTAAAATCTAGTGAAGCAATATTTAAAACACTGCCATCAGTTCATGCTTCGTTTAACAATTTCCCCGAAAAAGGGATGTGATGACTTTTCCCATTCTAATTAGAAACAATAAAACAGTCAGATAGACTTTACAGGAACACTCAACACATATATCAGTAAAGCCGCATTAACATTAACGCAGGTATTGCATAAGATTTAACGTCTTTGTGTGTGATGTAATACCTTCGAATTTCAGATATGCAAAACTATCAAAACAATAATTACACAAAAATGTAACCACCTGAACTGATGAATGTGAATATGCATTCTGAGCCTTTTTGATCTGAACTATTGTATAACAAAAAAATGACCAAATGGACCAAACAAACACACACAAAAATGATTTTAAAAACATGCTAAGTGTCTAAACACATCTGGAAGGGATTAAAACTGTTTCATCATGCGCTATTTATTTGGGAATTTATTTTGAAGTGAATTAAACAGCCATTGCTTCAATTTTTATACAGTAAATGATCAAGTAAATTTCAGTTGAAGGCCTAACCATCTGTGGGATTACGATCCCTCTAATTTGATGATAACTGAGCCTGAACCATGGATAAGAATTTCTTTTGAAGCATAACTGCCATTTCAAAATTAATCATTCTACTATAGAACAGAATTCTTCAATATTGTAATTCAGGCCAGAAGTGAGCATTCACATGCATTTCTCAAGCCATTCAACAGCCAACTCTAATAGAAACATTTATTGTTAAAATGATATATATTCTATTTTTATATTGCTTTGTTATCTTGTTTGAAACTGCTTACTCTATTTTAATATTATATATTTCTGCACCATCGCGTCATTCTAATGCATGCTTAGTTTGTCAGTCATCTGCATTTCATTTAGTTGCTATTCATTTGCCCTCTTTAGTTTTGGTTTCCATAGTTTCTGATCATTATTTGATTTATTTCTTCTTCATTTCATTCAGTATTTATGCTGTATTGTACTGTTCTATGACAGTTATTTTTCAACGATCTGTTTGTTACTCTTCTACAATGTCCTGAGTTCCTTATGTATTTAGAACAAAATATCCCCCCATCCCCCCATGTAATATTGTTACATAGATATTTAATACATTTCTTTATGATTTATATCATATACACATATTTTATATCTAAATATAGATAAACAATTTCTCAAACATATGCATGCCTGTGTGTATTTATATTTATTTTACAGTGCCAATAAAAAATCAACATGCTGTGTGAAAATCTATATCTTTACTCATATTACACCCTGCTTTCAAAAGACCTTCGAGATAAAATTGTAGAAAGGCACAGGCTAGGAGAAGGCTACAAAAAAATTTCAAAGGCTAGAAGAGTTGATTTCAGGCTTTATGACAAAGGAAGTAATTATTTCAAAGGGTGTGAGGATTTTCTAGGAATCTGTACATAGCAAGTATAGACACACTGTCAAAACAACCTTTAATTTTGGATTAAATTAAAACAGATTTTTATTTTTTTTTTGCCCTGCACTAATCACTTTTAAGTGTTTAATTTCTGTTTAACTAAAGATGCCTGTGATTTTTCTCTCAGGTTTGGCAGGCTCAAGAATAAGAGATTTTCACTGTATCTACTATGGGAAGGAGCACATGGAGTGCACCTGGAAGTCAGGACCTGTCCAGCCTCCAAATTCAGAGCACTACCTCTATTACTGGTGAGTGATTCTATGTAAATACTGCTGAAATTAGACTATTAAACATCCCAAATCATTTAACAGATGCATTAAGCACAGTTGCTCTGTGCCTCGGGGAGACTAGATGTCAGGTTGATACTCAAGTCAATTACTGTGGAATAGCCTGGATTTTACAAGTGTATTGAGACAATACACTAATGGCATGCAAAGGCTTCCTGTTCCATCTGTTCCATGGAAGAAAAATAAATGAAGTGCTCTGTTCATTTGAGTTTACAAACATTTGCATTTGGCAAACTTCAACCAATTTGGTTGTGTTCATGGTGGAACCAATAGGATAAACACTTTCTGCTGAACTACAGGTCAAGACAGAGCTTTTTAGCTGACTTAGCTGTGCTTCCATGAATCTGCTTTGCAAAATACCACAGAATCTTAAAGGTGATGCCAAAATACCATTCTGATCATAATCCACTCATCTATTCATTCATTCATGCATGCTATTTTTCTAGCTAATTTGCAAGATACTAGTTTTCAGCTTAAAGTGTCTTTTAAAGGCTTGACTAGGAAATTGATGTAATTAGGCCGGTCATTGTACAGCGGGTTTGTTCTGTCGCCATTAAAAATAAATGTCTTAAGGGGCTAATAATAAAAGTATTTAAAAAATAAAAAACTTATTTTATTAAAGCCAATCTAATAGAAAGAAGACTTTCTGTGGAAGGAAGTGAACATTTCCTTGTTCCGTTAAACGTCACTTGAGAAATATGTGAAAAATTACAAAACTTTCACTGGAGGGCTAGTATTTTTTGCTTCAACTATGTGTTTACAAGGGTGTAGAATTGGCATGGATGGAAGGGACGTGTCCTCACCAATAACCACCAATTTCTGACATACCCCTACCAATAATTTAATCAACTTCAAATTAAAGTAATGCTCTGTCAACTTTAAACCTAAATGTGCACCAAGTCAAGTTCGCTACGAGTTCACTGTAATACTAATAACCAAGGCTGTGCAATTAATTACAATTCAGTTTCAATTTTGACTTCTATGATTATGAAAAACAATAACTGGCATAGAACAGTTAAATTGTGTCAAACATCTCTCTAAATGTCTCTATATTCATACCTGCTCAAAGCCCGACTGCAGCTAAATGTAAATAAACTGTTACAGCATGGGATGGGATTGTTTATAATATTATTAAGTACTTTAATCATGTTTTTAAAAGTACAAAACATAATGTGTGATGTGCTTTACACTCTCAGAAACAAAGGTACGTGAGCTGTCACTGGGGTGGTACCTTTTTGAAAGGAACAAATTTGTACCAATAAGGTCCATATTAATACCTCAAGGGTACATATTAGTACCTAAAAAGTACAAAAGTGTTCCACCTAAAATTTTTAGGTAATAATATATACTTTTGGGGTACCAATATGGACCCTTCAAGTACAAATTTGTACCTTTTAAAAAGGTACCACCGTAGTGACAGCTTGCGTACCTTTATATCTGAGAGTGTAGAGAGTGTCCCCACCAATGTCAAGAGCGAATCTACGCCCTTTGTGTATATATAAACATATATCTTACACATAGACTTAGACATAAGTCACTTTGGATAAAAGTGTTTGCTAAATTAATCAATGTAAATGTAAAGTAAGTGCACTCAATAAGTGTATCTGTTTTTCCAGGCACAGGGAAATGGAAGAAACAAAGGAATGTCCAGAATACATTGTATCATCAAACAATGAGAGAGGATGCAGGTTTCCTCGCCAATCACTCTTGGAGTTTTCCAAGTTTAATATGTGTGTCAACGGATCTTCTTCAACAGGGAGTCTAAGACCAGCCTACTTCTCCATTGAGATCCAAAACTATGGTAATTACACTGACAGAACAAATTGCATATATACTGCAGAATAACTAGGGACACATAAGCAGTTGATTTGACCCAAAGTGCATAATGGAACATTGTCTTCTGTCTGCAGTAAAGCCTGCAGCGGTCTCTTCTCTGGACGTGTTAGAGACTGATGGACGGTTGAAGTTAGAATGGGCGCCACCTAGCGGTCAGGTGCCAGAACACTGCTTGGATTATGAGGTGGAGAGCAGCACTCTAATGGCAAATGGCAAAGAACTGAAGGTATTCTAATCCTTTTATCTTACTTCCTTCTATACAGCGATCTTCTGTTTTGTGTGCAAACTGTGGTGCATTTTTGAGCTTGCTGGTTCATGTTTTAGACGTTTCACAACAGTCACACAAAAATTTGGTTGTGCAAGATGTCTATAGATATTATGATATCTCAGGACTTTATTTAAAACTAACTTCAACATAAAATACATCCCAAGTGTAAATATAAGCCATCAGCTCCACTTGATTGCAATGCTTCAGATTTCAATTCTGCAGATTTAAAGCTTGTATATTCCCCCTTAAGAAATCACATTGAGATGGGTAGAGTTCACCAAACGTGAACTTCATGGTTGCAATCTATTTGGCTTTCAGGCGCATGCTTGTAAACTCCCCAAGCACTTCTATTCAGGGAATTCTCTCTGGTCTTTTAAAAACTGTTCCACTGCCTGAAGTGGACATGGAAGTTTTTGTTAGATTTCAACTAACGGAGTCTGGGCATGTTCAGATACTCACAATTGTATTCTTGGCCACTTGAGTACTACAGTGAGTGTTTTAAAAACAAAAATCACCTAAATGAGGTGGCTTATCATAGGGCAGACCCCATAGACTATACAATAATATGTATTACTTTCGTCATTTAATATATATATTTTTTTGCTAAATGACACTACATAAATTATATTACATTTATACCACAGTACTGTTTGCAGACATGAGGAGACCTCAAATTTTGGTAGGCGGCAATAAATAGGTTATTACCCAAATATCTACTGGTTGATGGAACACACAGGCTATACAAGACATTTTTATACAAAACAATAAAATAAATTTTCAGGGTTTATTATAACACAGACAAGAGATGCAATTATTTTTAATCAATTCTAACAGTGTTTTATGTCATTTTAAAATTATAATTTTAAATTATAAAAAAGGTTTGTATTTGGAAGCTTTTCGATTTGGGTCAGCTCAATTAAGGTGGAAAACCCAGCATAAGGGGTTAAACACATACCAAAATGCTCTGCATTCTCTGACATCACATTCAGAAATAAAGACCCACAACTGTTACTGGATTGGTAGGTTTTTTTTGTGTGTTTTTTTTTTTTTTTTGAGTTACATTTTTTCTGAACTGACAAATTTGGTTCCTTGAAAGTATTATATAAGTACCTAAATTATACATAATTATATTAAGTGTTTGTACAATTTACTTTTTTACTGTATAATAATAAAGTATAAAAGCATACCAGTACTGCACCAACAACAGCTTTTGTACCTTTATTTCTGAGAGTGACAACACTGATAGACTTCATCAATCAACATTTTATGTAAAAAAAGCTAAATAATTATTGATCTCAGAGGTTACGTTCAGATAGTAAGCATTTTTTTCTGGCAGACTATCTTCACTATTAAGCGAAGTTTATTTATAAACTAATTTCAAAAGGATCATGTGATTATGATTGATCACGGCTGGTTCCGCATTATTCAATTTATTATTCACCAATCACACGATTCCTAAGTCTCCGTAAATAACCATAGTTCCATACCAGTCATCTTCGTTTTGAAGAATTCCCCTTTCCACCCCTATTCCTCCTCCTTTCTAGATGGGCAGACCAGTGGTTAGCACAGTTGCCCCACAGCAAGAATGTCATTGGTTCTAGTCCTACCAGTCAAAGTTGACGTTTTTATTCACATCTTCACATGTTCTCCGTTCTCCCTGTGCCCGCGTGGGTTTCCCCCCGGTCCCCGGTTTCCTCCCACCATCCAAAAACATGCAACTTAAGTTAATTGACTAATCCAAATCAGCACTATAGATGTGCTCCTAGTAAGCAGTTATATCTTCACAGCAATGCCTAATTGCACACTAGCTTCAAACAGCAGGAGAGTTCTCGAGGTCTACCTGAGCTCAATCTCTCCTCTTTCCCTGCAAACTGGAGGGAGCCCGGGCTCGAGGATCTTATGAGCTCAGGGCTCTATCGTGGGACAGCATGCTAAACACGCTTTTTAATAAATCATCAGCCTAAGTGTGAACTCTTGAACTGCAGTTGATTAAATAAGATGTATGTGTCCATATATAACCAAACTATCTGCAAACTACTGTTTGGGTAGCAAATATACAAGTAAATTGACCTGCAAACACATTGACTTGCAGTATCTCTCTATCAAAACAAACGCCCTGTTCAGCTGATTTGAGCATGTGTGTGTGTGTGTGTGAGTGACAGAGTGAGTGAGTGAGTGGTATTTGTGTAAAAACACTTATGGCTTTCTCCAACATTATTTCAACAAGTAGGACATGTTCCTGGATTAACATCTATGTTGATCCTGGAACAACATTCCAATCAACCAATTAGAATTAAGAGATATGTTTACCGCTTATGTTAAGTTTAGACTTACGGTTAGGTTTATGCACTTCTACATGATTATCCAACTATTATTCCCCTCTGATTTTGGAAATAATTTACAGTTATGGTTTGGTTTAGGGGAAGGGAATAGGTATGGATTACATTTTCAAACAAAAATGATGTTCCAGAATCAACAGATGTTAATCCAGGATCTTACTTGGCAAAATCATCACATGCTTGTGGCTTTTCTGTCACAGATTTTGACATCAATGTATGCCGTGCTAAAAAACACACAAAAGACCATCTAAAATTTGATTTGAGCAGCTAGAACATCTGGTCAGAGATCTAAATCTTTCCACTTTTCGTGTATTTTGCTTCTCAGATTTTCAAGGGTTGCCCACCAGAAGTGGCCATTTGTACAAAGTAATTAATTATACATATCAGTGTCAACAAGATGGATGGAAATTAGTGAGAAAGGGGTGCTAAAAAATGAACTGGAACTGTAATACAGCCAAACTCAAAATAGGTCCCCTTTAGCTTGTGTTTCTGCTGTCCTTCATTCACATGCCTGACAAAGTGCTTTGTAACCACCCCTTTCCACTCGCAGATCACTTTCTGTGAGCACTCTGCTAATGTGCTGATAAGAATCAGGTGTATTTGATAAGAAGAACATCCAAAACGCCTTTAGCAGCACAGCAGAGGAAAACTGATGACAGGACTCTCAATATTTTCGTTGCGGTGCAAGAGCTAGTAATTAGTAAACAGCTCTTGAACATGAATGACTTGAACAAATACCACTCACTCGCATTTCATTCTGAATCTTGGCATGCACCGTTAAACAAATGTTTGATTAAGGTTGTGTGCCAAACCAAGCAATAAAAAAGAAAGAAAGAAAGCCAAGAATCCCATCTGTCAAGCCAATCTGTGTTATTTTTATTTTCTTCTTTCAGCAAACGGAGATTCTGGAGAATCTGGATCTGGGCACATCTTATGAGCTCCCGAGAGAAGCAGAAAGTAAGAAAACCTGCTTTAATCTCAGATCGAAAGTGAATATGTACTGCGCTGATGGAGGATTCTGGAGCGACTGGAGCCAAACAAAATGTACAGGTGAGACAGGTTTTTAAAATTGACCTTGATTAATTTCATTCATTCGTTTATTCTTTCCAATTTGTCTTTTTATTTTTTCAGAACATTTATATTAAGATGGGATTTTAATTTTATATAAGATTCATCAGCATGAACCACGCCACACTTTGAGCTAGACTTTATTATAAGGATGTAGGGGATGGTAAGAGAACAGGGGGATGAAGGGAAAGAGAAGTAAGAGGATGAACAGTGAACATTTAGATAGGTAGGTTGATCAGGTGTCCTACAATGATGCCCAGAGTCTTAGAGTGGGGGTACCATCTTTGTAATATTTTGGTTGAGGGATTGGATCCCCCGATTCAACCTAGGAGTGAAGAGAGTGTTATAGGATTGTGAATGGGAAGAGAGGAATTAGAGGGACTGTGGATTCAAAAGAATGAGAAGAATAGTGCTAGAGGGCTGGTCTGCCTTAATTAAGTTTTAGGGAGTAGGTGATTGGTTAAGGAGACAAAGTGAGGCGGGGTTCCTCTGCCGAACTTTTGTTAACAAGTTAACTCCATTAAAAATTGTACCATGACAAGCTTTTCAGCTTTTGGGAATATTTTTTTTATGAATAATGTAAATGTGTCTGCTAAAATGTTTGATGTTAAATAGTTCTTTGCGGTTTGATCATTTAATCATGTATTTTTCCTCAAAGTCAAACCAACATTGAATTATCGTTTGCTGGACCTGGTGATGATTGGCACTGCTGGAGTCATCATCTTCTGTCTTTCCTTATGGATATTAACGAGGATGTGAGTTTTCAGCCAATAGAAAAAAATTTATGCATACACCATTATCTTTGCCGTTTGTTGACACTCAATCTCATTTTTGTTCTGACAGCTGCATAAAGCCGTGCAGCAAGAAGGATGTCATCTACACGCTGTACAAGCAGAAGGTCAACGAGAACATGCCTTCAATCTTCAGCCCCATTTTCAAGTGATGATGCTTCCTATGACCTGCTTTTGCTGCATTACCATTCATACCTAATACTACATCACTAAATGCACACTACTCAGAGAAATAAACACGAGAATTGAGACTCGTCAGAGCCCTCGCACAGTTTACCTGGTAGTGGATTCAAAGTGAGCGCTGAGAGGCTTGTGGAGCAGATTTGTGGAAAACCAAAAGAACCAAAGCACTGACCTGAATGTAGAATCCACTTTGTTGTTTACCAAGCCACTCTACTATTAGCTAATGTGTTTACACAAATGTTATGTGCCTGTTAAAGTTACTCATATATAAATATGAATTATATTATAATATATTTTATTTCAAATGCCAGTGGTCTTGCCAGTTTTGCCCAGTTTTCAATAGCATCTATTCAGTCTTGAATATTTGTTCTTAATGTCAATGATCTTGCCAGACATGGCGTACTGTACAGTTTCAGTTTTGTCTTTTACAGTTTTCCTGTTTTTTTTTTTCATTCAATTTTTTGAATTTATGCTGTTTTTAAAGTAAATGTATTAAAATAAATCATAGATGTTTCAGATGCCAATAACATTGCCAGTTTTTGTTCGTTTTTATACATTTTCCTATTTTTCTACTTGCCAGGTTTTCTTGAATTTGTTTGTCTTTTACATTAAACCATATACTGTATTTGTAAGATGCCAGTAAACTTGCCATTTTTGTGTACTTTTGCAATTCGCGTATTTTCTATTAATAATAAAAACAGTTCTTGAATAAGTGATCTGTTTGTGTGTGTGTTTTTTACCCAAATAATATACCCAACAAAGTCAATCCAGGGCACAGTTAAACGTACCGGGCACTTTATTAGGTACGCCTGTCAAACTGCTTGTAGCGCAAATTTCTAATCAGCCATTTACATGGCAGCAGCTCAATGCATTTAGGCATGTAGACATGGTCAAGACGATCTGCTGCAGTTCAAACAGAGCATCAGAATGGAGAAGAAAGGTGATTTAAGTGACTTGGAATGCGGCATGGTTGTTGGTGCCAAACGGGCTCCTCTGAGTATTTCACAAACTGCTGATCTACTGGGATTTTCACTTACAACCATCTATAGGGTTTACAGAGAATGGTGCAAAAAAGAAAATGTCCAGTGAGCGTCAGTTCGGTGGGCGCAAATGCCTTGTTGATGCCAGAGGTCAGAGGAGAATGGCCAGACTGGTTCCAGCTGATAGAAAGGCAACAGTAATTCAACTCACTTGTTTCAACAGATGTATGCAGAAGAGCATCTCTGAGTGCACAACACATCGAACCTTGAGGCAGATGGGCTACAGCAGCAGAAAACCACGCCAGGTGCCAATTCTGACAGCTAAGAACAGGAAACTGAGGTGACAGTTCACACAGGCTCCCCAAAATTAGACAATAGAAGATAGGAATTTGATTTCTGCTGCGACTTTCAGTTTTAGGGTCAGAACTTGGCATCAACAACATGAAAGCATGAATCCATCCTGCCTTGAATCAGCAGTTCAGGCAGGTGGTGTAATGGTGTGGGAATATTTTTCTGGCACACTTTAGGTACCAACTGGTACCAATTGAGCATTGTGTCAATGCCACAGCCTACCTGAGTATTGTTGCTGACCATGTCCATCCTTTTATGACCACAGTGTACCAATCTTCTGATGTACTTCCAGCAGGATAATGCGCCATGTCATAAAGTGTGAATCATCTCAGACTGGTTTCTTGACCATGAAAATAAGTTCAGTGTGCTCAAATGGGCTAAACAGTCACCAGATTCAATCCAATAGAACACCTTTGGTATGTGGTGGAACGGGGAGATTCACATCTTAGATGTGCAGTCGACAAATCTGCAGCAACCTCGTGGTGCTATCATGTCAATATTGACCAAAATCTCTGAGGAATATTTCCAGTACCTTGTTGAATCTATGCCACAGTGGATAAGGGCAGTTTTGAAGGCAAAAGGGAGTCCAACAGTTTGTCTACAATTCATTTAAAAGCTTTTACATTGGAAGTTATATTATTTTAGGTACATTGAGTTTATAGAGTGGGGGTTGACATAGTGCTTATAGTGTTCTGGCAAATTAGGGGCCTAGTGGGTTGCCAGGGATTACCAACATTCCATATAACCTTTACATTGCACAAAAGACTCTCAACAGTGGTAAGTTTTTGTTTTTAACATTAATAAAATCTTCCCCTCACTTAGAACAAATGAAGAAGTCTTGCTCATGAGAAAATAAATGTGCTTTTGTGTCACGTGTCACTTATTAAACAATCCATTTGCAGCAAAAATACAACTCGTTTGCACCTGAAACTAAATTTTTGAGATGAGGAGGTTTGCTATGAAAGTTGCACGTTTTATAATCACCGTGATTTCGTGGGAAAAATGACAATTTCTTTCACACAGTTGAACAAGAGAATTACGACTGTGTATTATCAGCGGATTTGGCAACTCTGGCTGTGGCATATTGGTTTAGTTGGTGTGTCAAACACCAACTCAGGAAAAATAATCCCTATGAAATGAAACTTCAAAGGTAAAGTACACGGTTTACACCTTTTTATGCTTAAATCTTGTATTTCATGTATTAGATAAATTAGTTTATGCTGTGTATTTAGCTTGAGAACCTGACTGTGCAGCTGCGATTGCGTATTGTGGGAATGTTGAAGAAACTATTGGTATTTTTTTTTTCATATAGGCGATTGTAGCCCGACTCTTGTTGATACATAAAATGGGCTACTTGAATATCTTCTGTTGAATCTGAACCTGGCCTGCAGTCCAAACTTTCTAAGCATTGTATTTCTAGGAACAGGAAACGTACACATTGGACTATAAAATTGTTGTTTTTGTCTGTTGCAACACACTGTTCATAGCAACTCTCGGCCAAGAAGGTCAAGTTGCAACATTAGATTTTATTTTCAGTGGAATTACTAGGATAGCAAGACAGAGTTTCGGAATGATAACGAAGAAAGTTCAAATAAAGGCAACATCATCTTTTTGGTGGTGACATGAAGTTGTTGAGTACAGCTTGCTACATAAACAAAGATATCCAGTGCAAACTAAATGAATTACATTTTATGACTGTACATTATTCAATATTCATACCGAAAGAACGCTTGGATCTATTTAAACAATCTGGTAAGTCTTGCCGTTGGTTTGAGTGTCCACCAGCAGATGGCAGCACAGTACACATAATGCGTATGTCTATCGTTTCACACCCAAACTAATTGAATCTGTCGTTTTCATAGCGGCCATAACAAAATATTTAACCACCCGAGAATACTTTTCTTCTGTATCAAACCACAGAAATAATGATTATTTTCTTGTAGTTAATGTTTCGTTCTGGGCTGTGGCTTGTTGTTCTGGCAGCTGCTGTTGTTGTTGTTGTTTTTACCATAAATGTCAATGGAATTTCGGTTATGTAATTCTGGTGATCTGCTGAGCCACCAGAGACCCATGCTAAATCATGTAATGAACAGACCAGGAAGTGTGAAGGCAGGATGTATAGAGAAGGAAGGAAGGGGGAAGACAAAGGGATGTCAGTACTAGAATAAGATTTATATAGTTCTCAGATGTTCTTTTGTTTCCCAATAATTACAGTGACATTCCAACAGGCTCCTGATATTTATTATAATTCTTTTTTTCCCCAAACACTCTGCACCAGCCTTGAATAATACAACAGTAAACCTAATATAATCATACACTTGATACTGTACACATTCAGGACTAGGCCTAGTCTGTTTCAAACCTTTTAAATGTTATTAGGATAATTTATTTTGTATTGCGATATACAGATGAGTGAAAAACTCTGGGCAGTCTTAAAAAAGCTTGTTTGTTGACTGAATGGAGGCAGATAAAAATATAAATCTCTGTAAGAAAGAGCTTGATTTCTAGCTTCTTGAGGCTGTCCCACCAGAAGAATTAAATTCACCATAAAAATAAAATGACATATTTATTAGAAAGGGGTAAAACAAATTTAAGTTATTTAAAATATGCATGGACGGCATCAATATGGATGCCTGTAGTGTGCATTTCATTCTAATATTAATTTTGTTGTACATCATGTGTGTGTTGTGGTGTTGGTTTGCTTTGAATGGCCCATTTTTAATGAATTTGGTTCAAAGTAATCTTATGGATAGTGCATCATTTATTTTATTTTTTTTTCTAAAAGAAACAATTATAGTCTCTAGGCAAACTATAAAAACATTAAGGTTATGCGCATTCCTGTCATATAGGACTGTATGTGTGCATGCACATAGTGTAGGGTTTTGTTGTTGTTGTTTTTTTTGCATGCATAACACAGCATTCTTAGTCACTTACTGTACATAGGTCTTTGTAAACAGGGATTGTTTTCACAATACTGTTGTCTTTATGCAAAACATTTTTAAAGTGCAAAGGAAATCTATTTATACATATAAACTGTCTATATTTGAGTGCGTAAATATGCCGGGCAAGTCAAATGTTTGGAGTCACATGATTGAATGTTTCTTCTTAATGGTCTTAAAACATCCTTGTTCAGAAGGCACGGGAAAAATAGGTTATCTACACATTAATCCCTTTACTAAACCTAGTTTTATTCACTGTTTATTTAAGGCCTGTAAAGGAGATTAAAAGTAAGTGTATCTAATTAAACAAGATCCAAACTCAGTCCTGGAGGGCCATTGTGCTGCATATTTTAGTTGCAACTCCAATTAAACATACCTGAGGCAGCTAATCAAGCTCTTTCTAGGTATACTAGATCACCAGGCAGGTGTGTTTGATTAGGGTTGGAGCAAAACTATGCAGGACACCGGCCCTCCAGGACCGAGTTTGGACACCCCTGCTCTAAAGGGGTTAGAGCATAGAGATGAGCTCTTCCCAAAAGAGTGCTGTGCGTAATACCAAATAACTGCACAATTGATCATGGTCTAAAGTTTCCATCACATGTATTTTTCAAAAAGCCTTCATTCCAAAAATTCCATTTGATCACTTTGGTTTGGAGTAACACTTCAGTATGGCAGCCATGATTTTTTCACTGCCCTTTGGAGGACAATATATTCCAATTTGGAATGCACCAATAGACTGGGCAAGTAAGACAACGCTGATCTCAGAACTGGCATTA